ATAAAATTACGATATATTTAAAATATATTGCAAGCATCGTTGAATTTCTCCTTCTTCTTTTTTTACTATAGTAAAATGAAAATTATTTTATTTGAAATTTGCAAAAATGTGATTAACCAATGTTATTTTACGCGAGAAGTTGTTGAGGCTTAATTTTCTAGATAGGAATCAAGAGGACTCTTCAACTTTGACCGAAAAACCTATAAAAATTTGAGTTCCTGTTTAAAAAAAGAAATTACTACAGATTCTTTGGGACATTTGACATCTCTGTTCATATGAAAGATTCTTCTCTGAGTAAATAAAGTTTTCTAGGTTTCAAAGATTATTTCATCGCTTGAAAGCGACGAGTGGCGCGAAATTGTCTATGATGACCTTTCTATGCCTCAAAAAATGAATTTGTTACATCTAAGGTGAGGTAAACCAATCTCTAGATGTCAATTGTCAAGGGTGTTTTATCTTTCGAATCAATTCTCATGCTATTATGATTAATTTTCTTTTCTTTGAATTAAAAAAAAAAAAAAAAAAAAAATTTAAGTAATCTTAAAGTTCCTCACAAAAATTCTGGCATTAAAGCTCTAAAATATTTTAGATCAAACTTGAGTTATGACGGACTGGAACTCTGTTTGTATTAGGAAAAGCTATTTGTAGCCTTTATTCGTCTTATATTCGGGTTTTAAAATTTTAATATTAAAAATATGTAGCTGTATACCCACTCTTGACATAAATATCAACGCTTATCTAGTTCATTACTCGAGATGCTTAAGATTCTTAAATATTGAAAACTTCACTGAGACATCTTTTTACCTCATCCGATGAAAATTGTTCTACCAAAAAATGTCCATCTAAAAATGAATACCCCTCTTTGTGGATGGTTGCATCTAAATCGTTGATGAATTTTCATCTCCTCGAGAGAATTTCTTGACGGAAAGGCATCCGTGGAATCTCTGTCGTAAAGAGTGGATTTTACGACAAGTATTTGGGCGTGAGTATCCACTGATACCGTTGGTTCCCTTAAAGAAGTGATTTTAGAAAACTCTCGGAAGTTGTAATCGAAACAATGAACCTGCTCAAATGCTCATTTTCAGATTTCAGTCTCGGTTGATATTTAAAACTCTCTTGGGACGTTTCTACAGTGCCACGCTTGTTGCCACTGTGTATGTATTTCTGTATTTCTTTTTATCAAATAAAAGAAGTGTGTGCGTTTGAAGAGAAAACTAGTCAACAGAGATTATTATTTACTTAATAAATTCTCTCTGAGGAGCCTGTATTATCTGAATACTTTTTATACTATATTTTTTTTACTTTACACAGATATATGTTGATCTGCATGGATGAACATGAAGGTCTTGCTCAAAGTATCATTATCAGCTGACGGCAAATCTCTCACATCCGGCTGAAATACTAAGATATGAGTATGTCAAGTCTGAAAATGACATCCATTTTCCCCCCGCATAAAAATCGCACCCCCCCCTCCCAGCATAAAAATCGCATCATCCCCATCTCCTTTTTGTACAAATACCTCAATCTTCTAGAAAATCCTTACACAGAGAGGCAAATCGGATGGCGTATTTGGATTCAGTACTAAAATTTCCAGACGCTCCATCTGAAGTCCGCATCTCATCCCGAAAAAAAGAAGAAGTAGGAAAGAAACTTCTACGGTCATCTCGTCATCAGGGACGTTCATAATCATTGAATCCCAGGTTGACATGACTCCACGGAAAGAAATTGAATATTGATTTAGCATTTATACTGTTAAAAAGATGTTCGACAAGTTTCAAATGCTGATTTTACATTTTAACAAATGCTAACGTAACTACGCCCACTGCAAAACGTACAAATTAAAATGTTATGTTAGCATTTTTGTAATGTAAAAACAGCATTTGAAACTTGTCGGGCATCTTTTTAACAGTATAAATGCTAAATCAGCATTTAATTTTTTTCCGTGCATATAACGACTAATCTTGCAAACTAAAATGACTGAATCAACCAGAAAAACATCCTTCGATCCTTCCTAGAAAGTTACTCTAACTTCCGGTTTCCATTCCGAGCACGGATTCTCGGCTTTAAGTATGCACAATGCGCGCGCGAAGAACTCCAACGACGTGGCAACAATCAGATGACGCTCTGGAGCGATTTAATTTGTGATTTAATCAAACAAGAATCGCTGATCGCAGTTATCCCGGCTCGACTCACTTCCTTTATTTGTTGCTTGATCGCACCTCCGCCCCCCTCCTCTCCGCGAGGTTTGTGTTCCTTCCTCCTGCACAGAAATAACAGCGCGAGCCGCTTTTCATCAGCAGACTCAAACTTTTACAGTCACACTTATTGTTGCCAAGTTGAACGACGTCTCAAATCCTCTTCATCTTTTTTCCACAGCAAAAATCGTCGCTCTTCAGACTAAAAAAGAGTATTAAATACCTTTTTACGTGGCAAAATTAGAGCTCAAAAATAGTGCTTGATTAGGTTACTGACGGTCGTTCGGAAATGAAAATGCCACAGATTTTTCTCCTGATTTCATGCAAAATCAGAAAAATGTTGGCCAAACATTGCGACCCCATTTTGCTATAAAAATTGAATCATTTGAGTCTATATTGCAACCTTGGAATACAACTACAAGTTTGTTGCTTTGTCTTGGAAATGACAAAATTAGCGATGCATGCTTGGAATATGCAAACATGGCTTCATCTCGAGATACCTTCAATTCAGGACATTTTTTTATGATTCGAATATTTGATACTCTTTGGATTTATCTCTTGGAAAAAAACCTGTCATGCCAATTTGTACTTACAAGTGGGTCATCCCACCCTAGGTTTAATAAACAAGGTGGGAAGATTTACAGTGTTCCGAAGCTAATACCTTGCGCGTCGCTGCAAAACTTAAAGGACTGACCCGCCACTAAATGATTCTCTTTTTTGGTTCTGGAAGGCATGTTTAAAAAAAAATGACGTTTAGCGAAACCTTAATCACACTTTAATTGTCTTTTAGAAGTTTTAAATTTTTTTTGCATCTTTCTAAATATTCAGTTTCCAATTTTTGGAAGCTTCTTTTTTATGAGCTCTTAGCTTTTTTATGGGCTTCTTTTATATGGTGGAATCAACGCTGCATTCAAAATAACCAAAACCAACTTAGTAGTTCATAACGATTTGTGTTCCTTTGCGATGGAACACAGAGATTTATTTCAGTACAGACGTTTTTGACCTGTGCGGTTTCTTTCAATTCTGGGAATTATTCCACGTGTCTTGTGTCAGATCCAATGCAGATTCGATGAACGCCTTCAAATGAAGTAGATACCTCCAAACATTACTCCCAGGTTCGAATAGTTGCTTCTTCACATTTTGAGTTAGATGGGCTGGTGGACGTGTGCCGCGAGTCCTGTGTACCCAATCGGTGACTCTCTCCGGTCGTGAAATGCATGTTTGTGCTCATAGATTTATTAATTAACCTTTTGCAGCCTCTTTTTAAAAATTAAACAATTTAAATTAATATTGAATGCAAAAAAGCTAAATTATTTCGTATTTTTTTTTCCTTGTGCGAATTCCGTCGTCTGCTAAAATGACGCAGAAAAAGTATTTAAACTCATCTCTTTTCCTCTAAAAGTGTAAAATAACTTCGATTTTAGCCTGCAAGGAGAAAATCTGATCTAGGGACCTAAAAAAACGCACTAAACCTCATAAGAAAATCACACAAAAAATGCTAAATGCCCATTAATCTCGGTATTTTAAACACTCGTCCTTCATAAACCTAAAATAAACAAAAATGATCCGGAAATTTAATATTAAACCATTTAACCGTTATTATTTGCGTACTCCCTTCTTTTAAAATCGGAAATAGGTGATTTGGCGTTCTGCTTCCTAATACTGCATTTTGTAGCGAGTTCAGAACGGCAGAGAGGAGAGCTGGAATGTGAGGAATTTCCGATTGCATCGACAAATCTCACCACCGTTTCTCAGAGCCCGTCCAGATACAGAGGTGAGACGAGCTCTCCCAGACTGAACTTATTTTTCAAATCCCTTGTCCGTTCCCCCAACCTTCCTTTTTCTCGTTTCTTCGCACATAGCTCATCTCTCCCTGGAAACCAGACATGGTAACCACAGGGACCCGCTAATCTTCTTTTGTTTATTTGCCAGGATTTGTCGGGGCTTGCGGGCTTTGTGCGGACTTCCAAAGCTCTTTTTTGAGACTCCTATCCCTGGCAGGTCTGAAGGCTTTCTTGCATTGTTGTAATTTTGTAGAGGGACAGAGGGCTGTAAGAGGGAACCTTTTCGTAAATGAAATTTCACTGCCCCAAGTTTGAGCACAAGAAACAATTTTATAAGGCGGCCCTTAATGACTATTTGGACGGAGTTTATAAAAAGAAACCAGCCCACATTTTTTAAAAAATTGAGTCCAGAATGTTTTAGAGTTCCATTAGCCGTAGATTTTCTGCTGTCAAAAACTGACATTAGTTTGTGAGGAGAGGGGTAAAAGTTTATTTTCTGCATTGTGCCTTAAGCAGAAATAAAACTTCAAACCTCCTTTTCTCAGTTTCAACTTATTGTTAATGTGGGTTGGTTCCTATCTGATGCACTAGGTCCATTTAAATTAAAACTTTTAAGGCCACTTATTGGAAAAAACCTATGATTGTTCTTACGGCGAATTTGATTCGTAAGTAATCACAAAAACGTCAATATTTTGCCACATTACAAAAAAGTCTTCTTCTTTTGCTGGTCTGTTCTTAAACGATATTTTTAACAAATTTTCATGAAAAAAATTTCCTCTATACGTTACGATCCAACATGATTAAATTATACAAACCCAGAACCAATGACTTCATACATTTTTAATGATAAGGTTAAGCTAACAGAGCATCAATTCGGCCACTGAATGAAATCCACATATCGATGGATATACCCTTAGCATTACGCGCAGATACATCGGATACAAATTTTTTAAAGTGTACAGATGACTTAGACAGTGAAATTTTGTTGTGAGAATACGGTTATAGAGGTATTTATACTTACATTTCGGAGACTAAAGCTCTCAGTTTGCATAACGCTACCCCAAACATCCAGGGATACTGCTGCCAGTACACACTAAGGTCATTTGGCAATCCTGGAACAGAAATAAATAAATGAATGAACAAACGAATAAATGATATATTCTGTTGTACTAAGGGTGCTTGGTTCAAATATGTGAGCAGGGTGACGTAACCAAGCTGCTATGAGCATTCACCAAAATTGAGCGTACCGACAGGAATTATGTACATGGAGTTTGCGTGCAACATAGTTCTATTTGGTATAGACGTCCAATTAGAACTCTCAGGTCCTCACTTTCTTAACAGCAAAAATTCGTATAAGGTCGAATGTAATTATACAGCGATTGCTAAAACAGCTTGTTGTTCCCTATAGAATCGATGTATCACAAGTGCAGGGGTGCTCGAATTTCCTTATTTTATTTCATAGCATGTTATCACCGGACACTCCAAAATTTGCTCTTTTTTGTAAAAACCCTGTAACCTAACTACAGAGGTGTTAAGGTTACACCGGTGTTAGGTGTACATGGTTGCTGAGGCATACGGAAAAAAAAGTCAGGGGTTACCCCGATATAATTGTGGTACTACCATAATTTTTTGGATGATATTGACATTTCCAATTAATTTTAGTAGTACCGCAGCTAAAGTTGGGTTACATTTTTGGGTTAGTAACCTAATTTATTGAGATGCTACCACAATCAATTTGACTACATTTTGCAATGGGCCTGTTGCAAACTTTCGCTAGAGCAAAACTAAGAGTTGTTTCTTATAGATAATGCCTCAATTCTCTCTTTCCGTGCACCGATTTAAAATAAACAAATATTACTGCTACTACTACTATGTTACAAACTGAGACGCTCTTTATGAGAGTTTGATTACTATGCTACTTTATCTATGTTCTTTCTTATTTTTTTCGATAAATCCTCGATGATACAGCGAATGCGTATCACGAGCTAGATACTGCGCAATACGTAAAAATAGGTATTTAAAAGAAACTTTACAATAAATTTGTGTAATAATTTTCCGGCAACAACTTAAATTTAATTGGACGTATTTCTACCAAACAGACCTATGTGGAGGTGAGAAATATGGGGTGTGTTCGTTAGTGCTCTGGCCGTAAGAGTGAACGGGAATAATAAAGCGCCAGTGACGTCAGCGGCAATGATAGTTCGCACGCGAACGAGAGGGAGCTCGTCGTCGGGGTGCTGTAACTCATGAACCCTGTCCACAAGGCTCTCTTGCCATGCCCGCGGCTCATGAGTTCCGCATTCAGTTGGCACATAGGTCTGTTTGATAGAATGTAAAATCCCGCTTTTCCAATTCTTCAAAAGGAACCACGCCCACTTTTACATTGCTTCTTATGCAGCTTCCTAGAGCACACCCCATATTTCTCACCTCCACATAGGTCTGTTTGGTAGAAATACGTCCAATTAATACTTCACTTTCGCTCAAGTGATTCAGAACCCGCGCTCTAACATCTCTCCGTTTATTCTACATTGTACACTGTTCCAGTATGGTTTATGGTCCAGTTTTATGTTAGGGCTAATGGGCCCTACCATCCGCATTAGCTCAGAGTGGATCTTTTATCTCTTCGATTTACACATTGTGCTAATCTCATGTTGAGAGTAGTATAATTTCGATGGAGAACATTCCAGACGCCATTCAAGGAAGATTTGACCGAACTTCAAATTAGTAACGACATGATCTTTGTCAAAATATTCTCATTGATGCGGACATTTTATCTTGAGTTTTCCTTTGAATTTTTCCTCATTTCATAACCCTTTATCTTTCCTTACTTTTTTCCTCGTTCGAAATTAGCGACAGAATCGGCGCTCCATTTTTTGTCATCGGTAAGATTTACGACATTCTCAAATGTTTTTCATGCAAGACCCAGGACATCACCGGCGAATAATAATTCAAGTCGTGCGACGTTTGTCGTATGTCCTGTATCATATTTTCATTCCGCCGCAGGAATTAGGTCCATTTTCCCTTTGTAAATCAGCCCTTATCAGCGGGCAATCCGGAATTGCGACGCAACCCGAGACATAACTCACAAATTTTGGCAAAGAGGCCAACAAACATCTACTCGAGGCGGCTAAGTTAACTGGACCGCGAACTCACCGGGTGGCCGGTCAACAAGGAATTAACTTCACCCCGTCGGCCTAATTTCAGGAACTGCTCTCCCGGCGGCCTTGAAACGGACACCGCAAAAATAAATCCCAGCCCCGAAAGTCACCCTTAAATCATAGGCCAAGATCAAGAACGGGCCTCCGTGATGCGAGGGAATTCTTCCCTTCCGAGCATGAAATTAAGCTCTGTTGTCAAATCATGTCCGGATGACCCCTTGTTTGCGAGGGTAGTTGGTTTAGGGAGTAGAGTCGTTTCATGTGGCAACGCTGAAATTGAGTTGTGCGGGCGCGACTCTGTTCCAACGCCATTTTCAGCCCATTTAACCAGCAACCTTTTTGTTTTGCGGGTTGCGTGGAGCTAAGACGAGGCGCTGCGCACAGTTGGGGGAAAATTAAATGGGAACAAAAAAAGGCAGTTCCTAGAGTCTAGCATCCTGGCCGTTGCACTTTCTATGATAAAAGTGTGCATTTTCTTTCAAAATTTTTTAACTTCCTTATTTCTCAAGCACATGGATCCCAAACAAATCGTTTGCACAAGTTAATAGAGTTCGCATATTCTGATCCATGAATTTGGATTAAATATTTATTAAGAAAAAGCCACGTGTGTAGTATTTGTACATAGTTGAATTGAAACAAAAGAACATTTTTGGGAGAGCAACACAAAACTTTCCCAATTTCTTTTTTCTTGGGTAGGTGAAAAGAATCCTATACTTGGGCCAAAATCATACTTTATGATTTCTTATGGCAATCAGCACACTTTTATGGGCAAATAACTAATCAATTATTCAAATCACCTACTTAAATGAGAATAGATTTTTCGATGACTAAATGAAATGGTGAAAGATGGAGAATCGCAAAGCTATAAACTTGCTACGTGGGCCGAATATTCAATTTCCGTCACTACAATGGAGTTTTCGACTTTTCTAATGATTTTTAAATTTTTACTCAATGCCAGTAAGGTGAAATGAAATCCCTGTTTGCTACCATAAAAACCGACGGAGTGATGAATTTTTATTTTTTCTGGCTATATTTTTCGTTAAAAATTGTTCGAATTACCTGATTAAAGAAGGAATAGTATAGGGTTCTGATCTCACAGTAATCATACCGCACATTCTTTACTTAATCTGAGCCACTGTCCAAGAAAAAAGAAAAAAAAAGAAAAAAAGAAACAAAAATTAAACCCTGATGATAATCCCCTCATGTACATGGCATGGCTGTCATTGAGTATTAAGTTAGTCATTGAAGGGCTGAGGGTAATAAGTTCAAAATGTGTCCTATCTCAATGGTAAAACTATCTATTTCTGTCGCGAGATTGCAACATTTTAGCTAACATCCTATTCTTCAAAAATACCAATGCTGGATATTTTTTCCTCACATTTTAAAAAATGACCAGGTCTTCCTTTTGAAAGTTAAATGTTGCAGAATATTTACTTGAAAGCAGTCAGAGATACGCGGTTCCATACTTTCACCATGAATATGCCATTCAGCCCCTAAAACTCAAATTCCGCTCCTCACATTCGATTTTCTTCTATTCAAGTCCTCCAGAGCACCCAGTGTGCAGCGGCTCAAAAGTAATAGCGGGAGTTTTCCAGTGAGTGGGTTCCAGCGCTTTCACACGGCTACTCGGGGGTCGCGGCTGAAAGGCGCCCCCCTTCCCCCCCGCCCCCACTGCCCCACACAGAGCCCCCTCGATGCCAAACCTCCCATTCGCTCAATTTTAACCCGGATATAATACTACCCCGTCGCTGTCACAGCTTGGCAGCACGCAAGAGTGACTTAACCATGCCAGCAGCGATCCGCGAGCAGTATTGCCAACCCCCGGAATCCGGATCCTCGGAACCCGCGGATGCGGATCGGAGCGATTCCGTCCGTCACGTTGGCAACGCGGTTGACGAGCCGTATACGAATTAGTCGTTTGCGCTTTTGTCGTGCCGCCAGAATGCGTAAATCATTAGCGGGCCCGTTTGCGTCTTCATTTGCGCCCCCTCCCGCGCCAACTTGCGCCCCGACCAGATTTTATCTCGCCCTTGAGAGGGAGAGGGGGGCGGGGGGGAGAAGGGGGCCCCGCTGACGCACCTCCAAAACAATAACCGGCTAACGCTGCACGTAAGCCGGATTCGTGCGAAATCCAGTGCCGTGATTGTGCCGTCCGTATTTTGAGCGCATCGAGGCGTGGTTTCACCCTTACGTGAAAGAGACAAAGGCGTGTGGGTCGGAGTCGTGGCCTATAATGAACCAATCGGCGGGGTTAGAACTTACGAGGTGCATTGCATGCTGACTGATCAAAATTTCACGTAGAACACAGTAGGCACGGAAAAGTTGAGACGTGGGTTGGAAAGTTTCGAAATTAACTGGTGTGCGAAACCAACTATCTTTTCGCCCGTCAGAACACTGGAAAAAAACACATTGGATCTAGAGTCCGGATTTTTAAAAACATCGACCAGAAAAATTACTCTTGATTCAATCAGATTTAAGCTTAAATCAAGAACCCAGCCTCTTAATTTGAGCGAATTTCCTTTTGATTTAAGCTTATATCTGATTGAATCAAGAGTCCTTTTTCTTGTCAATGTTTTCAAGAATCTAGACTCTAGATCCAATGTGTTTTTTTTCCAGTGAATTGGACAAAAAATCGAAAATCAGGCATCGCGGGCCAATAACTCCCGCTTTCAAGCCACATTCAGCGTGTGATTCCGGCAATATCTCCTTGAATGATTGTTCATCTCAGTACTCCCATTAAATGACCGTCAAAAGTTCGGGAATTCGAAACTTTTTTGTTTCAACTTCGCCAATTCCATAACCGTCCAAAGTTTCAGGATTCTTTTCAGATTTTTTCAAAAGTTCCGAGAATGTTCCGCAAAATGCAAAAGATCCGGAACCTTTCGAGAATTTCAAAAGCTCCGGGCAAAATTCAGGAAAATCTCAAAAGTTCCGAAAGTCGGAACTAGTTCCGG